TGCAGGTGCAGTTGAATTTGAGAGGAAATAATGATATCAGGGAGCAAGGTGAATCCAATCAAAGGAGCAGAGGTGGTTATAATAACAGAAGTGGTCGTGGCAACAATAATAGAGGTCGAGGAGATACATCAAATTTTAGACGCAGTAGGGGTAATAATTTCAATTTTAGAGGTGGTCCTGGTAGAGGCACATGTGACAATTTTGGCAGAGGAAATAATTTTAATCAGAATAATTTTGGACAGAGAGTTCAATGTTATAATTATAAAAAATTAGGCCATAGACAATTTGAATGTAGATCTAGAGAAAATTTAGACAGAAATTTTCAAGCTAATGTTGTTGACAATCAGGTGCAGGATAATAATAAAAAATTTGAAACTTTATTATTAGCCTATAATACTGTTGATGTGGTTAATAAAATAAATGGTACTTAGATACGGGTTGTAACAACCATATGTCTGGCAAGAAAGAATTATTTGTTGAGCTTGATGAATCTGTCCGTGGTGAAATTAAATTTGGGAATAACACTGTTTTACCAGTGATTGGTAAGGAAAAAATTCCTATTAATCTAAAAAATGGGTCTACTAATTTTATTTCTGATGTTTTCTATGTTCCTGGGTTGCATCAAAATTTGTTGAGTATAGGCTAGTTGTTTGAGAAAAAATATGATATTCGTAGCAGGAATGGTATTTGTACTATTTTTAATAAAAATATTGGAATGATTGCCAGTGTACCAATGACTTCAAATTGCTTATTTCCACTGAATTTGAATAGTGCCAATTTTTCCTATTTGAGTACAGTGATAGATGACAATAATTTTGTGGTATATGTGATTTGATCATTTGAATTTTGATAGTTTGAAATTTTTGGCCAATAAAAAAATGGTTGGTGGATTGCATAGTATTACAAATCCTGATAGAGTATGTGATATGTGCATTTTGAAAAAACAACATAGGGATGCTTTTCAAACTGGCAAATCATAGAGGGCCAAAAGACCATTAGAAATTATTCAATTAGATTTATGCACTGTGGAATTCCTTCTAATGGTGGTTGCAAGTATTTTATTACTTTATTGATGATTTTAGTAGAAAAGTTTGGGGTATTTTTTGAAACAAAAATCTGATGCAGTAATGCACTTAAACCATGTTGACTGCATTTATGGGAAATAACACAGACTTGCATTTCAAAATTTTTCTCCATCTAGAAAATTGAATCCATTAGAGTTGATGCACATTGATATTTGCTATATAAAAGATAAGTCTCTTGTTGGTACTGTTTATTTTGTAACCTTTATCGATGACTAGAAAGTTTGGTGTTTTGCTTTGAAATCCAAATATCAGGTTTTGGATGTATTTAAAGATTTTCATAGCAAAGTTGAAAGAGAAACTGACAAGTAGTTAAAGTGTGTTCGTGCTGACAATGGTAGTGAGTACAGGAGACTGTTAAAGTTACTGCACTCGTGGGATCAAACTAGAAAAGACAGTACCAAACTCCTCAAGAGAATGGAGTAGCAGAGAGGATGAACAGATCCATCATCAGCGGGTCAGATGTATACTCTATAATGCTAAACTTCCAAAATCCTTTTGGGGTGAGATAATGAAGACTGCAATTGATTTGATAAATCTTTCTCCATTAGTTCCTCTAGATGATAATATCCCAGAGAAAGTATGGACGGAAAAAAATGTGTCTTAAACATCTAAGAGTTTTTGGTTGTCGAGCATTTATTCATATTCCCAAAGATGAGAGGTCAAAATTTAATGTAAAATCAAAACAGTATATTTTCTTGGATTATGGATATGAAGATTTTGACTATAGACTGAGTGATTCTGTTGAAAAGAAGGTGATTAAGAGTAGAGATGTTGTCTTCTTTGAAGATCAAACCATTGAAAACATTGATAAAGGTAACAATCCAAAATTCTCATATGACATTCCTGCAAGTTCAAATCTAGATCCAGATCCACTTCTAATACTTGTTAATTTTAATCAAGGGGGAGCTGAGACAAAGTAGAGAGAGGATGTTGATGATGGTGATAATCCTGCTGCTGATGAACCTGACCATGAGGGGCCACCTACTCCACCACCGCCACCACAAGATGAGTTTAGAAGATCTACCAAAGAGAGGAGGCTTTCTAGCAGACATAATCCCCATGAATATGTGTTGTTGGCAGATAGAGGAGAGTCAAAATCCTACTATGAGGCTCTAGAGCATGAGAACATAGAAAATCGGTTGCGGGCCATGCAAGAGGAGATGGTATCCCTATATGAGAATCACACTTATGATTTAGTGAAACTATCTAAGGGCAAGATAGTTCTGTAAAACAAACGGGTCTATAGGTTAAAGACTCAGGAGCACAACACAAAACCAAAATACAAAGAAAGATTGGTTGTGAAGGGATTTAGTCAAAAGAATGGTGTAGACTTTGAAGAAATTTTCTCTCTTGTGGTAAAGATGTCATCAATTCGAGTTATTCTGGGTATTGGAGCCAGTTTAAATTTGGAGATCAAGCAACTTTATGTAAAGACAGCCTTCCTGCATGGTGACTTGAAAGAGGAGATTTATATGAAACAACCGGAGGGTTCAAAGAAAGTGGCAAAGAAGACCTTATATGCCATCTCAAGAAGAGCTTGTATGGGTTGAAACGGCACCGAGATAGTGGTACAAGAAGTTTGACTTCTTTATGACAGACCACATGTACCACAGAACTACATCTGATCACTGTATTTATGTGAAAAATTTTTCAGATGGTGATTTTATTATTCTCTTGCTGTATGTTGATGACATGTTGATTGTTAGCCGTAATACTATAAAAATTGACAGGTTGAAAAAAGAGCTAAGTAAATTTTTTGCAATGAAGGGTTTGGGTCCAACTGGATAGATACTGGGGATGAAAATCTTACGAGACAGGCAAAATGGGAAGCTTTGGTTGTCTCAGAAAAAGTATATTGAGAAAGTGTTTAGCAGGTTTAACATGAGTAAAACTAAGGAAGTCTCTACTCCACTTGTGAGTCATTTTAAACAGAATATCAAACAGTGTCTTACAAGTAAAAAAGATAAAGAAGACATGAAAAAAGTTCCTTATGCCTCGGCTATTGATAGTCTGATGTATGTTATGGTTTGCACCAGATCAGATATTGTTCATACAGTTAGAGTAGTCAGTCGGTATCTTTCCAATCCTGGTAAGGAGTATTAGAATGCTGTCAAATAGATTCTCAAGTATGTCAAGGAAACTTCCAAATTATGTTTGTATTTCGGCAATGGTAAAACTATGTTAGATGGGTACACCGATACAAATATGACAGGTGATCTTGACAATAGGAAATTCGCATCTGGGTACTTGATGATTTTTGCAGGGGGAAAAGTGTCATGGCAAAATAAGTTATAGAAGTGTATCACCCTTTTTCAGTACGGAGTCAGAGTATATCGCAATCACTGAAATATGCAAGGAGACTCTTTGGTTGCAAAAATTCCTTCAGGAGTTAGGTATGAAGCAAGAGAAGTATAGTTTTTACTATGACAGTCAGAGTGTCATTTACTTGTGTAAAAATTCTACATTTCACTCTCAGTCCAAATACATTGATGTGAGATATCATTAGATTCGAGAAGTATTAGATTCCAAGTTGTTGACACTTGAGAAGGTGCATACAAGTGATAATAGTGCTGACATGTTGACCAAGGCATTGTTTAAGGAGAAACTCTTGTTTTGCAAAGTAACCATATGAGGTCTGTATAACCACCAGTGGCCACCACCAACCTCTCAAGATTTGATGGAGTGGGCGGTCAAGGTTTCAAATCTTGCCTCCCATCAATTGTCATATAGTGATTTTTCTAAAAAATTTAGACTAGTGTATAGTGCATTCGTTTGGTCCGGTGGTGTTTTAATTCCTGCCTGCCTCCCATAGGTTCAGTTGGATCTCCTCTTAAATAAATTAAAATAGAACAGGATATACATAAAATAGCGATGAATAATAAAAAAAAAAATGAGGTCTGTGTGGTACTCTGTTGGCAGTAAACATCATGCCTGGCAGTCAAACATAATGGTCTACAAGCCATTTTTTTCTACCATCCTAATTATTCAAATGTTGGTTCACGTTTTGTCTTCATAGAAGTCGACACGATTGCCATCCTACAGTTGTAGCCGCCCACTATTAAAATGCATGCTTGGAAGTCAGACTTTGGTAGTCAATTTTCAGCGGCCGTGCATGTTCACATCGTGGTTGGAGCTACATATGAATAGAGGGACTTCATGAGACGAGAGCTCTGTTAGGGAAATATTCTTTTTTATGTTATCTCAAGTATTTTGTGCGGTCTATTTTGGCTCTTCTACCGTCTCGAGTCTCTTGGGGGACGGGGCCCAGGCATAATGGAATTAGTCGGATCGAAAGCCCGGACACTCACTGTGTCCAAAAAAAAAAAAAAAGAGTATTCGCTTGTTTTTTTCTCTTTCTTATTTTGGGGCCTTGCGAATTTTGTTTTAAATTTTATACGTGAAAGTTGCTCACTTTCCCTCGTGGACATGGATCTAATTAACCAAGTCACGTCAATCTTTGTGTCATTATTTTTTACATTGTTTTCTTCACAAATTTTATTATAATCTTATTATCACTTTCGTGGGTTATTAAATTAAGGGTAAATTATATATAATCCCCTGTGATTTTATCTTTTGCTATAGGACTTTCATAACATTTCAAAATATCTACTTTACCTCCTATAATTTTATGTAAAGTGAAAATTTAACGGAAAATAGCCTATGTAATATTATTAATTGAAATATCAATAGTACCCTTATTTAAAAAGTATGATGAGATTGCATGAATAAGGTGGATATTTATACAAACCATAAAGAGATCACATGGAAATTAAAATTTTATCACATGTGCTTTTAGAGCACGTTTGATATAAATGCTATAATTGATTGTGCATTTCATTTATTTTTCACTTTACATAAACTTATAGGGGGTTATACAGCTATTTTAAAACCTTAAGGGGGTCATCTGGCATTATGTCAAATCATAGGGGTTATTAGTAATTTATCCTTAAATTCATTCTTGCCGAATTCACGGGGGCAGACCCTAACACACTTTCTGGTTTTTAATCCACGTTTCTTGGTGAATATAAAGTTTTATTAACCATGTATATGGCAGCTAATTTGTAAACATAAAACTGATAAGTGAAATTAAGAATAAATAGTCTAAGCACGACAAATATACTTTGGCAATCCAATTAAGTGCTTAGAATACTTGAAACAAATTCCTCAATGTTTTGGTCAGAGCTTCCTCCGTCACTCATTGCCTTTATAGCCAATTCCTTCCACCTTAAAGCATTCTTTCTAAGCTTATTAGCCTTCTCACCATGCATAACTTCTTTTATAGTCATTTCTACTTCTTCTCTTTGAAGAGCTCCATTTTCATCAGCCTTAACTCGAACTCCAGCATCCCATACATCCACAATGTATTTGGAATTAGTAGTTTGATCAATCCATACAGGCATAGTCACCATTGGCACTCCTAAGCTCAATGCTTCCAACGTCGAATTCCAACCGCAATGAGTCACGAAGCATCCAACAGCCTGGTGCGACAAAACCTCTAGCTGAGGGCACCAATTCAGGATTAAGCCTTTATCTCGTGCCTTGGACTGGAAATTGCTAGGGAGTTTGCTCTCTTCTGAAGCTCGGATTACCCACAAGAAGTTGTAATCGCTTCTCATAAGGCCCCATGCTGTTTCTGCTATTTGATTTTCACCAATGTCGGATAAGCTCCCAAATGAAACATAGACAACTGAGTTAATTTCCTTCGAGTCGAGCCATTCTATGCAAGATTTTGTAGTTGGCTTGAAGAGACTGAGGCTGTAATCAGTGTCATCTTTCAATCGCTTGTCCAGGTACACAGATGGAATAGCTGGCCCAATACTCTTGATAGGATATTGGTTTGCCGTCCATTCCAGCACCTAGTTGTACAAAACAAACCAAAAAGAAGAAGAAGAAGAAGAAAAAGTTTACAATTTGGAGAGTAATCCAAAGTACTTCAAAAACTGCTTTTTTAATTGATAGATACGCAGGAAAAAAAAAGAACAAAAACTAATTTACGTAACCTGGTGATTCCTTCATATGTTGTTACTGGAATTAGTGATTGCACAACCTAAAAAATGCTTGTTAAATTTAGGTTGAGGGAACAACCAATCATGGAAACGTATATAAGAGTAGTAAAATACGTGTATACTGTAATTTTATGTCTGTGTTTGGTAAATTAGTGATTTCCAAAAACATTATATGGTTTTAATTCTGCAAAATAATACTGTCCACATCAACTTACAAGATTCACACAATTGTCATTATTTGTGTATATATCTATTAATTGCACAGTTGGAAAGCATACTTATGTTGCATTTGATAAAATTGAAATCTGAAACTGAAGTCTGAAATCTAAAATTAGAAATATGAATTGAATAAGTTATTGAATTGTTAAATATTAAATCTGATACATTTGAGTGTATATCATATTAAGTGATAAATGAATAGTTTATCACTTATTTTTAGGAGCAAGGTTTACCGAGAAAAATTAGTGCCACTTAATTAATTCAGATATTCAATTTTTTGTGATCAAATGGATCTGAACATGTTAAGATTTGAATCCATTAAATTTAAGCGTTAAATTGAGTTATTTCTAAAATAAATTTTACTATTTCAGTTAACCTGTTCTAGTTGAGCATGACCAAATCTGAAGAAAAATGGCCAACAATGTGCTAGAACGAATTGAGAAAATCTTGACAGTAGTAATATAAATATCCAAATGTAGATAAATAACCTTTTACCCCCCCCCCCCAAATAATTCGGTGTTTTACCAAATAACCTCTCTATAGTTCAAAAACCTATACATAACCCTCTTATGGTTTGGATTAAAGTGTCACCGTTAGTTTTTCCGTTAAAACTAATGATCAATAATAAAAAGTCAAAGTCAAACTAGTGTTGGGTTTGAGTTTTATCCTACCAACCATTTAGTTTGTTAGGTTTGAGTTTTGGCCTTGTGTTTTATCCTACCAACTGTGTTGCCAACACGGTTGGTGGGAAAAAACACAAGCCCAACAACTAGTAATTTGATAAATTTACCCTTTTATTACTTCTTTTTTTTTTCCTCCAAACCAAAAAAGAAGAAATTGAAATAAAAAATAGATAAATGAGAAACAGAAAATACCATTAAATATTTGGTTAAAAAACCTATAATGAAATGTGTAGTAAAAAAAGATTAGGTATTTTTTGTTTCTTATTTATTTGTTTTATATTTCCTTTCCATTTTTTCTGTTTCTTATTTATTTATCTTTTATTTCCCTTCCATCTCTTTTGTATTTGGAGAAAATTAAGATTTTGTAGGCCAAAGCATAGGATTTCAAAATCATTTGTTCTCTTCCCCAAAAAAAAAGAGAGAGAAAGAAAAGGAAAAAAGAAAAAAAAAGTAGTGAAAGGGTGAATTTGTCAATTTATTAGTTTGACTTTGACATTTTACTACTGACCATTAGCTTTAATGAAAAAAATAATGATAACATTTTAACCCAAATCATGAAGAGATTATATATAGGTTTTCAAATCATAGGGGTTACGTGGTAAAGTATCAAACCACAAGGGAGTAAAAGGTAATTTATCCAAAAATTAAAATGATTTGTGCAATAAGAAACTTACCTCCTTTTCTAGGTTGTCAAAAGTGTTGAAAAAGATCCAATCTGCTTTCTCAAGAAATGTAATTTGATCGAGGAGAACCCCTGAAGGGTCGGGGTAAGCACATGGATCATACACAAAAGAAGGCAGATCATTTGACTCCAATACTGGCAATGAAGGAAGCGAAATGTTAGGCTTCTCCAATGGAATTTTCAGCGTTCCTCGACGAACATGGTTGTATATGGCACAGACAGCACAAGACTGGGTGGAAAATGCAGCCACAGGAATGCCTAGTTTGTATACTGTCTCTAAAGCCTGTGGCAGCAGCAAATCGTGCATAATAACTTTGACTGGCTCGCCACACCTGGCTTTTTCCTCTACAATTTCGGGCAAATTATCTGAAATTGTTGCTGTGAAGCGTTTCACGAAGTCTGCAAGGCTAGTAGCTGCCTCAGTTCCACTAGTATCAGGAATAAACTCGATCCTGATGGACTCGAATTGGTTTTGCACAGATATGTTGGCCGAGAAAACAGTGGCTAGTGTAACCATGATCCCTCTTGAGGCCAGGCGCTTACAAAACTGCAGCATGGGATTTATGTGGCCTTGAAATGGTAAAGGGAGTGCTAGAACATGAGTTTTGCCAGCCATCTTTTCTAACAACTTTGAGTTCTTCGCACTCGTTTTTCTTGATTGTGTGGCTTTGTGTCAAGAAAAAAACGTTTCTGAAGGATGATATATACTATGTGGCATCAGAAATTAAACTGCTGATTTTATACTAAGCCAACAAACTAGAGAAAACAGAAACTGATTAGAACTGTCGGCTTCTTATGTTAACAAGGAAATGTTGGGCAATGCAATAGTTGCTAGCGTGACCATGATGCCTTTTGAAGCCAGACGCTTGCAGAATTGCAGCATTGGGTTGATATGGCCTTGAAAAGGCAAAGGGACAGCTAGGATATGAGTTTTGCTAGACATTGCTTTTTTTCTTTATAATACTTCGGAAGAAGAAATCGGCATTACAAGATGTTATATAAAGGGCATGGAGAACAAGTGAAATGGATTTGCCGGCTTCGACTAATCCTTAAAAGTTGGAAATCACAGATTCCAACTTTGTTTTTATCGCCGGCTTCGACTAATCCTTAAAAATCTAATTTCACATACTAATCAAATGAATTTTGTTTTTATTAGCAGGATGAGAAATCTAATTTCACACACTAATCAACTAAAATTTGGTTCGAGAAAAAAAAAAATTTAAAAACTTTGTATGGCTTGCTAGGTGACAGGTGATCCGCGAAAACAACAATGGGATCTTAAGAGAAGAAAACTGATATTAGTTTTTTACTTGCAATCAACTGCCACGCAGATCAAATCTAGAAGCAAATATGCCCCAGTATGACATTGATTTATCCAAAATACAATGCTTTTAGACAAGAAGACCCAAGAACAACCCACAATTGACACGATAGACCTACATTACTCTATACTAAGGGGAGGGGAGACCTGAAAAGACCCAAAAACAACCCGGAGGAGACTGAATCACCATCGGTCCTCAGAGGATACAAGCCCATAAATTTACACTTTCCATCTTGATAAAAACTCATCAATGCATTTATCAGAAGTCCCATTCTCACAGACTGCCTCCTTAGCCAAATTCATCCATTTAATAGCATTGTCTTTCATTTCCTTTCCGCTCTCTCCTTCCATAACTTGCCTTACACAACCCTCAACCTCTTCCCTCCCTACAAGACCATTCTCATCAACTTTAACTCTTTTCCCCACTTTCCAAACATCTTGGACAAGTTTAGCATTAGTAGTTTGATCAGTCCATTGAGGCATGACAACCATAGGCACTCCCATGCTCAAAGCTTCAATACTAGAATTCCATCCAGCATGTGAGAAAAAGCATCCAATTGCCTCATTGGCTAGTACTTTCATCTGTGGACTCCATCTTACCAACAAGCCCTTTTCTCTTGTTTCTTGCACAAAGTTTCTTGGAAGCTTGGCTTCCTCACAAGCCCTCACCAGTCACCACCCATAAGAAGTAGAAATTGCTTTGTTTCAGTCCCATTGCTAATTCATCCATTTGTTTCTCATCAAAAGTGACCATACTACCAAATGCTATGAAAACAACAGAACCCTTAGGCTTGCTATGTAACCATTTGATGCTCATTGAGGGGTCTAATTCAAAGAGGTCGAGCCCATAATCTTTGTCATTTGGAACTCGGTTGTCCAAGTATACCGATGGAACGGTTGGACCAATGGTAAGTAATGGACAAACTTTTGACATGGCATCCAAGGCCTGCAATTAAACAAATAAAACAAAGAGCCGAAGGCAGTTGGTTAAATTAATTGCTGAGACAATTATCACAGCTGCAATCGTGTATTAGATATAAAAAGTGGTTGGCCATGACCTGAGGTTCCAACAATCTTGTGGGGACTGGGAAGTATGTATCTTATATAATTATTTTTCAATCACTAGTATATAAAAAAAAAAAATCAGATTGCTTACAAATTTTACTGCTTCATCTTTTAAGTGATATTCAACCTAAGCATTGAATATCCACAATATTTTTGTTTTGGAATCCATTATTCATCGTTTGTACGGTGGCCCATTCAACAATATACATATATATGCACACACTACATACATACATACATCATATACATACACACACACATATATTTATATATATTTTCTAAAACACCATACTAGCTACAATAGTTCTGTCATGGGTGATCCCAATCCAAAACCAAAAACAAAAGGTTTGTCAGATCCAAATTCCAAAATATAAACTATAATATAGGGACCCTTTACCACATATGTTTTCCTATTGGTTAGGCTAATCCAAAACCAAAAACAAAAGTTTAATACAGAATAATAAAGTTCAGGTCTTTAAGCTTACCCCAGCTTCCAACTTGTAGAATGTATTCACAAGCACATAATCAGCTTTGTCTATGTTCAAAAACTGCCTCAGAACCATCTGAAAATATGCAGGATATGTACCCTCAAAAGCAATAAATGCTGGCATGTCCAGGCGATCAAGAAGTGGTAATCCAGGAATAGAAACGGGAAATGAAGAAACTGGCAGTGTCAGAAGCCCATGATATACATAATAATATACAAAATTAACAGCACAAGGTTGAGTGAAGAAAGCAGCTGAAACTAGACCAAACTCTTGAGTAATATCCACAACCCAAGGCAAGAAAGAATCATAGATTATGCAATCAACAGGAGTCCCTGCGTTTTTCTGCCTATTTAGAAGTTCCCTCAGAGTTTTCAAGCCAGCATCTTGTAGATGTTCTAAATATGAATGGCGGCTTTCTGCTTGAGTGAAGCCACCTTCATCAAATCCATCAGAAATGGTATCAATTTGAGCAGTTTCTGATTTTGGCTGCATGGTTTTGGAGATGAAATTTGTGATTGCTAGAGTGGCTTTGCAGCCTTTGGAGACTAACCTCTTGCAAAATTGCAACATGGGATTTATGTGGCCTTGGCTTGGATAAGGAATTGCCAAGATGTGGGCTCTGTAAGATTGGTTCCTATCCCCCATTTTTGTTGCTCTTCGTATTCTGATTTCTGAATATGTTTTCTAAAGAGAAATGCTATTTATAGCCGATATCATGCTTCACTTTTTCAAATTTCATAGTTAGACGACACCTCACTCTTCAAAGTCGGTGACACCTTATTCTAGTTCAAAAATAAATAAATAAATAAAAGAGGATATCTTAAATACGTAATAACAAGTTTTAAGCATCAATTCTGCTCTTTAATCTATTTTTACCGAGTTCTATCTTTTTTTATTAACATTTAATAGACAGGCAATTAAGCTATTTTTGCATATACATATATATATGACACTACCAATTTACTAAAGTTTAATTGGAATAGAAGTTAAAACTAGCATTAGTGTAACTTAGTATACGAAAATTATTGTAAATGAATCCGCATTTTAAGTTTACTAGTTTTGGGGTGCCACGCCAATGCCCAGGTTTGTCTTTAGTTTGTATAATTTTAGTGTTATTTTTGAGAAGAGCGTTGCATGGCAATACTGATGCAATGGCATGGCAAGGCTTAGTTATTATGGGAAAATTGTTATTTATTAATCTTTATTGTAACGTTTATTGAAAGAATTGAATGGAGTGCCAACTGCTTGTCTGGATATGTAGTGATTTGAGATGCATGACGTGTCAATTGAAAGTGGTTGCAATTCTTGCATGAGTGCCAAATATTTTTAGTTTGTATGACACTTGTATGTTTATAGGTGACAGTTGTAGTACGTTTACATGCGAATACAAATGACCCAAAGTCTGAGCAGGAACGAAGTAGAGCAAAAGGAAACAACAAAAGCAACTAAAATTTTAAATAGATGCAAGGCAACGACCACTATGAGAATGAACACATTTCCTACAGCCAGCTCAACAATGACGGAACGCACCATATAAAATATAGCGCCACGCAATCACCAACAACAGCATCCACTAAGAGCATCTACAATGGTTTACACTCTTTAGAGTATAATCTACATGTTACGTCAGCATTTCACTTTCTTCTTTTTATTATACTCTCACTCACAATGGATTACACTCCACAAGGTATAATAGCATGGGTCCATAATTAAATCAAACATTTATTTTAATATTGCATAACTCATATCTTATAAATAAATAAAGTAATTTTTTTTAAAAATAATTTCATTATTATTAAAAATAAGTTATTAACTTTCATTTAATTTTTACCTTTTGAATTTTTTATTTTCTAAAAAATAATATTATTAATTTTAAGTTTGAAAAATATATCTTTTTCTATCTCTCAAAAATAATATATTGTTATTTTTTGAAAAATAATTATGCAATTATTAAACAAATATGTGATACCTCAAATGCAAAGATATCATAATAATCCATATTTAATTAATAATTTTTTATGTAATTAATTGAACTCCATAACATAACATTACATAATTTAAATCAAATAAAATACAAATAACAACAAAATGAATACTACTTATGAAAATTAGTCTGTTGCAACTTAAAAAAATTTGTCTTGCCCACCATTACACGCATCATCAAAATGATACGTGTAATGGACCTATATCCTGGGTTTTATTATACCTCCCATGGCGCTCTGATATATATATATATATGACACTATCAATTTACTAAAGTTTAATTGGAATAGAGGTTAAAACTAGCATTAGTGTAGCTTAGTATACGAAAATTATTGTAAATGAATCCGCATTTTAAGTTTACTAGTTTTGGGGTGCCACGCCAATGCCCAAGTTTGTGTTTAGTTTGTATAATTTTAGTGTTATTTTTTAGAAGAGTGTTGCATGGCAATACTGATGCAATGGCGTGACAGGGCTTAGTTATTATGGAAAAATTGTTATTTATTAATCTTTATTGTAACGTTTATTGAAAGAATTGAATGGAGTGCCAACTGCTTGTCTGGATATGTAGTGATTTGAGATGCCTGACGTGTCAATTGAAAGTGGTTGTAATTCTTGCATGAGTGCCAAATATTTTTAGTTTGTATGACACTTGTATGTTTGTAGGTGACAGTTGTAGTACGTTTGCATGTGAATACAAATGACCCAAAGTCTGAGCAGGAACGAAGCAGAGCAAAAGGAAACAACAAAAACGACTAAAAT